GCGGCAGAAGGGCAGCGGGGCCTCCCCTACCAGCAGAGGTGTCCCTGGCTGATGGCAGAGGCTGCTTGTGCAAAAGAGCCGAGTTGCAGCTCGCGAGGAAGCACCTGTGGGGCTCAGGGTAGCTGCCCTCCAGTGCTCTTCCCTGGCAGAAGTCCCTCCCAGCTTGCCTTGCCAGGGGACAGCTCCGGGCATGGGTACAACTGCACAAAGCCCCTTTTGTCTCTGTCTCCTGGCAGAAGCAGGCAGCCACGTTGGAGGGAATGCCTTTGCACGGGGCCCCCATGCTGCAGGGGACCGAGAGCTGCTCAGTCCCAGAGAATGCTCCCTGGTGCCAAGATAGTCATGGGGGTTGCCATGACTATCTTCATAGCTGGATGTGGCCCCAGAATGGCCCCCTCCTTTCATGTTCAAAACTGGGGACTGCCTTAGAATCTTAAAGCACAGATAGAAAAATGTGCCGTGTTTCTGACACCTTTTAAAACACCTCCCTCTCGCTTGCTCGCTTGTGTTAACCTCCCTTTTCTTTGACAGTTCAAGGCACAATCTCCCTCCCCCTAATTTATCCCCGCAGTGTCCCAGGCAGGTGGGTCTCCTGAGCTGCTCTTGGGCTAAGCCAGCAGCGTCTGCAGGGAGCCTTTTCGTCTCTTTGGGGAAGGGCGGCTGCCTTCCCCCAGAGGGGTCTGCAGGGCATGGCCCAAACAGTCAAGGGGGTGGGACTGAAGCGCCTCCTGGCTTTTGTGCAATGTTCCCTGTGGACACCACCACTTCCCCCAGCAGTCCTCCCCGCACGGCTCAGAAACCGAAGGAGCCCCTCTGAAAGGAGCCCCCTCCCCTGCATGCTCCCCTGTCCATCCAACCCTCTGGCCATCCTCCAGGGAGACAGGCTGGAGCAGGGCTGAGGAAGGACTGTCCCCTTCAGACAGCAGCCGGCTACGTTTCGGGACGGCCCCTCTGAGAAAGACGGTTGCGTTGGGGCGTGGCTTGGGGGGGCCTGTCTGTGTTTGGAATTCGGCCAGAGTGAAGGGGGGGCTGAAGGTGACCAGTCCTCTGCAGCTGCCCCTGCAATCGGCCTCTCATCCTTGAGCATGTCTTCCTTTCCCGGTGTCGGCCAAAGGCACAGTTGTGGCATCTGCCCTTGGGGGAAGCAGAGGCATTTGACCTGCTCCAGCACACGGCTGCCAGGGGCCAAAGGAAATGCCAGCGGGCAGCCTTGCCAAGGCAAACCGTGTGAGGGCTCTTCTGGGTCCCATGCCAAACGCCCCGCTTGGGGGTGGCTCCCTCCAGACGGTGGGGGGCCCAGAGCGAGCGGCAGGTGGCTGTTCGCAGGCAGAGTGTGTCTGGAGGGCTGGAGGGCTCAACGGCGGCTCTCCCCCTTCCCCCCCCCGCCCTCCCAGGGGGGGGGACTTGAAAGGCAAGCCCGGCACAGAAACCGCCACAAAGGCCGCGCAC